ATTTTTTTTCTATAAAAATAGACCTTAACTTTTTTCATTAAAGAAAATGAAGTGAGTTTTTTTTTGAAAAAAAAAATCGTTTTTTATATATCATCATGCATCTCTATGGAAAAAAAACGAAAAATCGTAAACAATGGTATACTCGGGTTGTTTTTTTTTTTTTTTTTTTTTTTTTTTTTTTTGAGATAAAAAACATGGCCTAAAAAAATTTTAAATGAAAAAAATTGCAGTTTTTTTTTTTGGAAATAGTGGATTTTTTGGTATAATCCGGTGTGTGTGCGTCCAATGTAAAAGTGTACATCTAATTTCTTGGCCGTTGATCATTATGATTTCCGATGCTTACGATTGGTTCATTGGTTAATTATGGTTTTCTATTAAACATTAATATATATATATATATATATATATATATATATATATATATATATATATATATATATATATATATATATATATAAAAGGTTAAGTTCAAGTAAGACGGCCTAATTTTGTGAGATCGTAAGACGCATTTTTTTATTTTTTTTAGTTAATTTAAGTTCCAAAAATAATATTTAAAAAAAGAATTTTTTGATTTTTCCATTTATTTTGCATTTTAAAATTATTTTTAGAATATGTACAGTGTAATATTCTATTTAGAATATTTCACGTATTTTTCAAAAAAAAAATGGATTTTTATTTATTTTTATTTTTTTTAGTTAATTCAAGTTCCGAAAATAATATTTAAAAAAAGAATTTTTAGATTTTTCCATTTATTTTGCATTTTAAAATTATTTTTTAGAATATGTCACTGTAATATTCAATTTAGAATATTTCACGTATTTTTTAAAAAAAAATGAGATTTTTTTTTATTTTTTTATTTTATTTTTTATTTTTTTTAGTTAATTCAAGTTTCGAAAATAATATTTAAAAAAAGAATTGTTGGATTTTTCCATTTATTTTGCATTTTAAAATTATTTTTATATTTGATTTTACGGTGTCACAAAATTAGAATGGTCTCAAATTAAACTGAATATATATATATATATATATATATATATATATATATATATATATATATATATATATATATATATATATATATATATATATATATCGTACTGTACTTTTTACTTTAAATTTCGTTATCACTTTATAGAAATTCAAAAAATAACGACTTCTTGAACATCTTACCATTTTTTTATTATCTTCTCAAAAACAATCTAGAAGTATTCCTAAGAGTTCACATTAACATCTACTTTCTGACTTTCTACAATATAAAACGTCTGAATGTATTTTTGTGAGATGCCTAGCCTAACAATTGTGGAGGGAGTGACACGTAACAATGATGCTGGCGTGTCACCGTTGTCACAGCTGCCCGTACTCCTGCCCGCATTTCCCGAAATCCAGCACCATAGTTCTCTAACGGAATAATCTTTCAACTTTTTTCATTTCTCTGTAAAGTGGAAAAATCGGAAATCGTAGGTTGTAGCCATCATATATACTTGAAAGGTGGTTTAGTTTCCTCTCCTCGAAGTTAGATCAGCAGAAGATATATAGAGTTGAGAATACTAGAAGAAAGAAATCTATTGTGTTCATATATGGCGGTGGAGTATGAATGTTGCGAATATCAGTTCTTCTTGCACATAGGGATCATTGCGTTTTTAGTTTTGTTTGCTGGTTTGATGTCTGGACTTACTTTGGGGCTAATGTCTTTAAGTCTCGTTGATCTTGAAGTTCTTGCCAAATCTGGTACTCCAAAAGATCGTAAATATGCTGGTATATATTTCCATTTAATTAATCACCTTCATGTTGATGTTCATGTCTATGTTGGCTCAAGTTCCCCTTCCAAATTTTCGCGATACTTCTCAGATTGTGATGATTAAGCAAATTGTGATGACATCCGACATCTCATCTTGTAATTTTGAGCTCTGGTAGTCAATAGTCAGACATGGAGATTGCTCAATATTACAATACCTAAATGTATTAGGGTTTTTTTTGCTAATTCCGCTCAAACTTTACGTTTAGTTTTCTGTATGCTAATTACTTCTCACTTTTTATCGCAACAGAGAAGATATTACCAGTGGTCAAAAACCAGCATTTACTACTTTGCACCCTTCTGATTTGCAATGCTGCTGCAATGGAGGTATATCGAACACATTCCAGATTCAAATAAGTTGATTCACATTCATATTCATAGCTTTTCATATTTGAATCGATTGTTGTCCTGTTTAGGCACTTCCTATTTTTCTCGATGCTCTGATTACAGCTTGGGGTGCTATCCTCATTTCAGTGACATTAATACTTCTGTTTGGTGAGGTGAGTATTCAGTAATCTAACTAATCAACTAATCATCTAAACTCTAAATCAATAATCTCTCGAGAAAACTAACTAGTAAGTATACATATATCATACACAGATCATACCTCAATCTGTTTGTACTAGATATGGACTTGCTATTGGCGCATCTGTAGCTCCATTTGTTCGTGTTCTTGTTTGGGTCTGCTTTCCTGTTGCGTATCCAATAAGCAAGGTGATATACTATTATACTCATACACACTTCTATTTCACTCTGCTAATATTCATAAAATATTTCAAATCAGCTTCTAGACTATCTCTTGGGTCATGAACACGTTGCTCTTTTCCGAAGAGCCGAGTTAAAGACACTTGTCAATTTACATGGTAACGAGGTATGTCAAATACAGTATAATTTGTTCTGTTATGTTATGTAAAGTGTTTTAATTTTGCGATGATGTAAACAGGCTGGAAAGGGAGGTGAATTGACACATGACGAGACAACAATAATCGCTGGAGCGCTTGAACTCACAGAAAAGACAGCAAGTGATGCAATGACTCCTATATCTGAAACTTTTTCAGTTGATATAAATGCCAAACTTGATAGGTTTCTTGATTTTTTTCATTATTTTAAGATCTTTATGAATTATAATTATACATCTTTTTTATTATTATTGCAAAAACAGGGATTTAATGAATATAATCCTGGAAAAAGGGCATAGCAGAGTACCTATCTATTACGAACAACCTACCAACATAATTGGACTTGTTCTGGTAACGTATAAATTATTAAATTCTATTCCGCAATATTTACAATATGAAATATTCATTTATTTTATATATTCACATTTATGGTTATGATTTGTTAGGTCAAAAATTTGTTGACCATCCATCCGGAAGATGAAGTACCTATAAAAAGTGTCGCAATACGCAGGATTCCAAAGTACATTGTTATTTTTATATTTATCTGACATTTTAGTATTTTACAAATTGTTTATTTATGTAATATTTTAATTAAATATTTGGTTTCTATTAGGGTTCTGGAAACTCTTCCATTGTATGACATATTGAATGAGTTCCAAAAAGGTCACAGTCACATGGCGGTTGTTGTGAAACAATGTAACAAGACCTCAGAGCCGGTGGGCCCCACAAGTCCATTGCCAGGTATGCTTTCCAATTTAGGGATACACAAATAAATGATGTTTGTCTGAATAAAGTGATATATACATAAGGTCTTATTCATTTCTAGACTAAATTAACCGTGTGAACGAGTCTAAATGACCATATTACCCTTACAACAATTTTGACAATATTTATTAGCTTTAACGTATTGAGTTATTGCAACCTAAAAATTATAGATGCGAAGAAGGAAGTGCGGATAGACGTTGATCGAGAGAATAGCTTGAGGGCAAAAAGGTCATTTCAGAAATGGAAGAGTTTCCCGAACAATGGGAACAATTCTAATAGAGGTGGGTATAGGAGTAAGAAGTGGAGTAAAGATATGTATTCAGATATTTTGGAGATAGAAGGAAAACCACTTCCGAAACTTCCTGAAGAAGAAGAAGCTGTTGGGATAATAACAATGGAAGATGTCATCGAAGAATTACTTCAGGTAAATTTAAACAATTTTTTTTTCTAAATTATCATTTTCTTTTTATTTATGTTATTATTTTTTTTTTTGGTGAAATGCAGGAGGAGATATTTGATGAAACTGATCATCATTTTGAGGACTCATAACATTTGTTTTGGTTGAAGTCGGATGTTGTTTTAGTTTAAACACTGGTTAAACTTGAAAATGTACATAAACTATCTTGTTTTTTGTTTATTTTTTTAATGTCAGAGAAATCTTTTTGACGTGATTGAGTTTCTTTTTGGGGTTTATTTGATATTTTTATTATTTATATCTCTCCTTATTAAAGTTGGTAACATATGTTTATAAATGAGAAAACTTGATAACATTAATAATTAGAATCATCAATTTATTGTAATGATTAAAGCAAGTCTGAATTGAAAACTTACTAAAAGTAAAAGAAATATAATAAACAAAAATGAGCTGTTTTGGTTATTTTGTAATATTTTGTTGTTATTTTAGCAAGCAAAATGAATCCAAAATCGAAAATAATAATCCGGTTATGATCAAGTTCAATAAAAAAAAAATACTCATATCCAAAGTTCAGTACGAATTGAAACCATACAGTTCAAATTATTCAATATCTATATGTATTAAAATGGAAACCTTATAGTTGAATAGGTTGTGAAAACAACTAAAAGTTTACTTAGTACTCAAGAAAGTTAACAAACAGAAAAATATTTTGAAAATGATGAAAACCACTAGATTGGAATCCATGATAAGAAAAGGAAAAGCATTAAGTGGCATTTTGGTTAATGCTAACCAGTGTGTAAACAAGAATATCGGCAAAAGCTCTAAAAAAAGCAGACGAAGGAATCAGAATCCAGACTGTTTAGTTGTGTCATTAAAGATATGATTAGAACAAAATCTACAAATAAAGATATGAATGCTTGTACTAATTATGCCATTTCAAAACTTTACATCTTATAAGGATGTCTTATATGCTTAAAGTGACTTAATACCCTTTATCAAGATGTCTTATATGCTTTAAAGTGACTGAATACCCGCCCTTTAGATTAAATGTTGCTACATAAAACCTCTTTTCTAGACCAAATAAACCCCATTAAATGACTACCATTTCACCTTTACAATTTAGCAAATAACTTTCACAATACTCATCAATTGTACCAATATCCATCCATTTTATCAATACATTAAACCAAGTTTTTTTGGTTTTTGTTGGCTTAACCCATTAAGTCATTCAATCAAGATTAACGAAAAACATCAACTCCCATTAGTAACCAACTGTACACAAACACAATTTTCACAATCCATCAAAGCATATCCAATAGATGTAACAAAATTTAACAGATTACTTATGATGTTTACTTCTTTTCTTCTCCCTTTTCTTCTTTTTGTCTTTAGACTTTTCTTTCGCTCTGTGTTTTTTCCTTGAACAATCTCTTTTCACCCTTTTCTCCCTTCTTTCAGAGCAATCTGAATCAGAAGACGATTTTGCCCTCAGACTATGAGGCCTTTTTGGGCCAATAACACCCCGATTATCCCACCATTCATTATATCCAATGTCATCTAGATCTTTCCCTTTCGACTCTTCAGGAAGATATGGCCCTGTTTCATCCATCCTGGACCCCACTGCACCCCTACCCCGCTTCGCCCTGTCATCACCAAACAAGTGAGACCCCTATACCCTATCTGAAAATCAATATATTAAAAAAAAATGTCAAAATGTGGACACAATTACCCTTGATACCCCGTTTGTTACCTAGGACAGAGTACATGACAAAACAGGTTGTACTGTGTTCTCATCTGACTGATGTACCCAAAAAGGTGAAATAGAAGAAAGAGAGAGTACCTTGAGTGCAAGAATTCTTCAATCTCTTTGTCCTTTAATTCATCTTCACTTGGACTTTTGCTTGATGAACACAAAGAACTATGCTTTCTTTCATAATCATCAAATCTTACATTTGCATTCTTTTGAGATTCATGAATCGCATTATTTGCACGTTTTTGCTCATATTTTCTAACTCTATCATCCATTTCTTTCTCCTTTTGACGTGCTTTCCACATCTCATTTACTTCCACAGCTCGATTAGCTTCAAGAATTTAATATCATAATTCGTAAATTACACATAGCAATCGCATTCTATTGCAATAGAATTAAATTTATATGGGAAGTGCTAATTGATAAATTACCTTGTTGTACACCAAGAACAGTTGCAGTGAGAAAACGTGAATTTGGTCGACCCCTTACATTGGGAGGATGAAGATATGCATCTATTCCATCTCTTGCAGCTTGTCTCCTTAATTCTGCTGCTTCTTTCATCAGAATTGCAGCAATTCTGTTTTCTGTTTCAAGATCCATCTAAAATAGAAATGTACGTTTGAAATTAAAACAATAACTTCAATTACGTTCAAATATGGATTAAAGCCTCAACATCGACACAGAAACACTACCTCTGGACTTGAATACTCGACGAAAAAGTACAGATGCAATATGGATTTTTAAACTTTTCAATGAAAACCTAGGATTATGTTGGTGTCAAATTCACAACAAAGTTCGTATCAAGTTTGCGTTCGAAAAGTACTAAATGTTAAATAGAATATCGATAGTTATTTCTTAACTAAAAATTTGTAATTTTACTTGATCAAATCAAAAGGGTTTTGTAAACCCTAGCTACTAAAATCTTCAATACTATATGCAATAAAGCTTCGATATATATATCTAGAGAAAAAGATTACCTCAAATAATGGAGCTAATATAACGTTGGCGTTGGCCGGAAGAGACGGGGACGATGGTGGTTTCCCGATCGTGAAAATTGCAGAGTTGGAAGAGTTCGAAAGGGGAGATTTGACAGGGATTTAATGGCGATGGGTATTTAGGTCTTTTGCTTTTAAATGCGCGTGTAGTTCATATTTTAACTTATAGTTACAAAACTAGTCCCTAAGGTATTCAGTAATCTATATATTTGTTCTTATGAATTTATTTCTTGCAACGCTGATCCAAATATCAACGATTTTGCAAGAAAATAGTATTTCCTTCGCCGACTTTATATTGAGTTCATCAATACGATCATTTATATGTCATTTTAAGTTTACATAACATATTTTATTTTAAGTCTATAAATAAATTAAGAATTCATAAAGATAGAATAATCTTAAAATAAAGTCGAACGGTTGTAATGACAAATCTCAAAAGATGGATATTTGTATGACTTTGGTTGATGAATTGATGTCAAGCCCTTTGAATCGTAAACGAAATAGTTTATGTAGCGAAATTTCCTTCATAGAAAAAATTCAGTTTGCTATTGATCAAGATTTGTATCTTGATATAAAATGAAGTGTGAATGATCTTAGGAAAATAATTAATTGGATGAGAGATTGGGAGATAATAATACTCGTTTCCAAAAATGTTTTATCACTCTATGTGTTAACTCGAGAGCTATATATTTATGTAGAAAACATTGTGTTTGTCTAATGGGTATACAAGAAACTATCTTCTTGACTCATGTGAATGTTTGGATAGTCTGTATTTTGTGGGGGATAATGATTTTGTTGAAATAAGCATCGATGTGTCAAACTTGTCATTAATTCTTATGCAGGGTAAGTTGTAAACATTTGTATTGTGTTGGGTATATTGTGTAATTCTTGTGCAGGTTATCGGGTTTACACGCGGGTTAGTGGATAGCTCCATGGAGCTGTATACCCGAGATATATAGTGTAGTCTGTGTATGTAGTTCTCATTCATTCAGCAGATATTTTCGTGTGATTCTCTCTTTCTTCTCTCTGAAATTAGGGTTTTCTTCTTGTGTGCACATACTTAGATCTAAGAAGATCTGCTCGTAAAAGTCTTCGTATAGTTTATGTAAACTATGAGTGTGAGTGTCTTTTGTAGAGAGTTTTCAGTTGTAAGCAAATGTTTGATCGAACTGGTTTATAGTGAATAAACTGTTCAAGTTGGGAATCGTTGGTGTTTTTTACTTTCTTTACAGATTTAGAGGGTAATTAGGTTTACAGTTTGTCCATACTAGGTTACCGGTAAAAATGACTATTTCTAAACGGTAATAACAACCATATTGGTCTAATGCGCATAAAAAAAACCTTAGGAGGGTAATTAAGTTTCCAGTTTGTCCGTATTAGGTCATTAAAGTTTTTTTGTGCGCATTAGATCAATATAGTTGTTATTACCGTTTAGAAATAATCATTTTTACTTGTTAAACAGGAACAAACCGCTAAAAATAACTATTTCTAAACGATAATAACAACCATATTGGTTTAATACGCAAAAAAAAAAAAAAAAAAAAAAAAAAAAAAAAAAAAACATTAATGATCTAATACGAACAAACTGAAAACCTAATTAACCTCCTAAGTCATTATCCCGTTTTGTGGGGTAATTTATACTTTGGTTTTGCATGTTTAACTAACTACAAGGGGTAGATTAAGGGAATTATATGCATTTAAGACCCGTTGATTTAACGTGTAGGGAGTATTTTGTCGTTTTAAAATGGGTATAAGTTAATAATAAAGTTAGTGTTACCCTTATTGACATGTATGTTCCTCGTGATTGTATTTTTTTCATTCTTAAATGGGTGTAAGTTAATAATAAGTTTAATATTACCCTTAGGCAGCATTTGGTATACAGACTAAATTGAATAGGACTGGACATAGACAAATTATTTGTGAGACGTTTGGTAGCAGAAAGATGGATCAGAGCATGATGTTAAAATGACTAAATTGCCCGCACAATTAACATAATTTTATCAGTGGTAGAAATTTATAACCACAAAAGATATCAATATTATTGAAGAACATTCTTCAAGATTCCATGTACTTGTATTATAAAATTCAAGCTGTAGTTACAAACACAAAAAGCAAATGGGTAATCGATAATTTGAAAAAAAAAAAAACATTTGATGAAAATTATATGTTGTGTGGGTATGATTTAAAATTATATATATTGAGAGAAAGTAAATTGATAATTGATGAAGTTACTTAATTCCAGTAATAGTGTTGACGACAAAGGTAAAAAGGTTTAATTATAAGTTAAAATGGATTATTGTCTCTGCAACAGTGGAGTGTACATTTCAAAAAAAAAAAAAATTGTAATGTGTGGAAAGAATAGGGATATATACAGTAAAGTCTCAATATTTTCATCGATTTGACAAGAAAGTTCTAAACTTTATTTTTTGACAGTAAAGTCCAAATTACCGGCAATTTTTGACACTTTTACCCTTTTTTCCCGGTTAGCCGGTAATTAGGACTTTTTTATCAACAAAATAAAGTTTAGGACTTTCTTGTCAAATCGTCAATTAGAACTTTACTGTAAAAAAATATGGTTTAGGACTTTTTTGTCAAATCGTTGAAAATATTGGGACTTTAGTGTATATATAATTTTTTTGTTAGAAATTTAATGGTATGATACTCTTTAAGCATAAGAGTTATTGAAACATTCTCTAATCAGCTAGATCCTATTGAAATCCTTTACTTTTGTTTCATGTTAAATCGTTTTTTTAATCTCAACAAACCGATATTGAAAAAATTGAGATAATCAAGAAAGAAAGAAAGAATAAGGGTTGTGTTGGTTTTTTGCAGTCTAAAAAATAGAGAAATAAGAAACCGAAAAAAACAAAATTACCCTTCTTTCTCTTCTCCACATTCACACCCTTTTAACTAGACATGTGTTGTTTGTGTTTGTATAAATCCAGGGCAATTTCGTTTTTTTAGGTTTCTAATTTCTCTATTTTTTAGACCGCAAAAATCCAACATAACCATAGTTCTTTCTTTCTTTCTTGACTATTTCAATTTTTTTCAGTGTCGGTTTGTTGAGATTAAAAAATAATATAACAAGAAACAAACGTAAAGGATTTCAATAAAATCTCGCTGATTAGAGAATGTTTTAATAACTCTTATGCTTAAAGAGTATCATAAAATTAAATTTCTAACCAAAAAAAAAATTATATATACACTAAAGTCCCATTATTTTTAACGATTTTACAAAAAAGTCATAAACTTTATTTTTTTGACAGTAAAGTCATAATTGACGATTTGACAAGAAAGTCCTAAACTTTATTTTGTTGACAAAAAAGTCATAATTACCGGCTAACCGGGGAAAAAAGGTAAAAGTGTCAAAAACTGCCGGTAATTTGAACTTTAATGTCAAAAAAATAAAATTTAGGACTTTCTTGTCAAATCGATGAAAATATTGTGATTTTACTGTATATATCCCGAGAAAATATTATAAAATAATAGGTATTTTCAGATTATGTAAACTCGTTGCAAAAAAATGGAGTATAAAGTTGTTGAGCGTGAAGAAATATGAGATAAAAGATGTGAGGGTTTATTAGTAAAATGTGTTTTGTTCCACTCAGTTCTATCTTTTTGGGTGGTATTAAAATCTAACAAAATAGTTGCATTTAACTTGATCAATAATTAATTTTGTTTTTTGTCCCATTCATGCCAAACACCATTTCAAAAACCCTTGTTATTTCTTTAGTGTCATGTACCAAACAATATCTTATTGACATGTACGTTCCTCATGATTGTATTTTTTTCATTGTTAAATTGCTATAATTTGAAATAAGGTAAATTTTACCCTTATTGACACGGATGTTCCTTATGATTTTTACAACTGATAAGTACTAGAAGGAGTTGTTGAAAACATTAGATGAGTTTATTTAAGGGATAATGACTTAAAAAGGTAACGAAGTTTCAAAAGTGTATAAAAAAGACCATTGTTGTTTTTTTTTTTGTACACAAAATACCATTTTACCGGCTATTGTAGGTTATCCGGTTTCCAAATGTTCAAAAAATACCATTGTTGTTTTTTTAGTACAAAAAATACCATTAATGTTACTATTTGTACACAGAATACCAACAAAATACACATGTGATCAACTAAAACATTGTGGTAACCAGATACTTCAGGTAAATAGGATGAGATGAGCGTAATCAGCAAGTGCTTGTTTAATTTTTGTTGAAATTGTTGGAAAAGATCTTACTTCCACCGTATGATCCGCCGAACAAGATTACAGGTGACGCTTCGGCTGACAAATTTTTCTTCAAATCGGTGATGAGAAGAGCGTAATCAGCAAGTGTTTGTTCGACTGTTAGATAGGCTAAAGTAGAAGCATTCTTGTATGCCTCTTTCTGGCTTCCATATGACATCGATTCACCATAATATCGATGCTAGATCAAATCACACAGCTTTTGATAAAATTGTATTATTAAAGGTCTGCAAGTGAAGAAATTAATGTAGAGTAGAGTGATTAGGGCTTTTACTTCGGGGAAGATGACCATGGCACCAAAACGAGGGGCGAGTTCCCAAACGAAGTCGGTGTTGGCAGCGAACCATTCGATGTCGCCTTCGTTGCCGCAATAAAGGAAGATTGGGCCCAAACGATTAGGGCCTGGGCCCACCCAGTGATCGGAGTTGATGAGATAACGTTGTTGGAACTTGGGAAGATCATTGAAGCTGAAATGATCAAGAGTCTGATCAAAGTATCGTGTCTCGTAAGTGTACTTCGGCTGAACAAGAATGTTTTGGGTTTTGAGAAGCCGTGGGGATTTGCCGAGAAACGGAGGTGGCCGGCAAGATTCCGGCGTTGATGAAAGTAGGCAGATGATTAGGAGGAAGAATAAGAAAAATGGTTTTTCCATGGTGGTAGAGGTTGGCGATGAAGAACAGTAGTGGCCGAAGTGAAGTGGAGGGTTCTTTATAAAAAGTAGCTAAATTTTCATTACATTCAAAGAAAGAAAAATGACTTAAAAAGGTAACGAAGTTTAAAAAATGTACAAAAAAGACCATTTTTTTTTTTGTACACAAAATACCATTTTACCGGCTATTGTAGGTTACCCACAATGTTTTATTTGAACACATATGTACTTCATTGGTATTTTGTGTATAAAAAATATACTTTAATAGTATTTTGAGTACTAAAAATAAAATAATAATAGTTTTTTTTACATTTTTGAAACTTCATTTAAATCATTTTCCCAATTTTAGACGGACAAAGATAACCAAACTTCATTCATGCCACGTAGTATTTAAAATTCCATTCCTTAACGGTTCTAGAGAGAAGGGCCCAACTCATACTCCCTCCCCCATTTTATCATCTTAAGGCCCAACTTAGATAGGCACACACCCACACAGTCACACTGCCACATCTCATCGGCTTTACTTCTTAGCGCAGTCGGAACCCTAATCTCTCTGCATCAACAATGGCGGCCGTCGGTTACGACTACGAAGATGGAATGCCGTCCTCCGCCGATGGAGGTTTGTCTTACGACCCTTCCTTCGTTCCCGACCCCGTCAAATCATTCGTCGTCCATCTCTACCGTCACATCCGGGAGAAAAACGTCTATGAGATCCATCAGATGTACGAGACTTCATTCCATACGCTAAGCGACCGTATGTTCAAGGATACCCCTTGGCCTTCCGTTGAAGCCGTTGCTCAGTACGTTGATAACGACCATGTGTTCTGCTTGCTTTACCGCGAGATGTGGTATCGCCACCTGTATGCTCGGTTATCTCCAACTCTCAAGCAGAGGATTGATTCTTGGGATAATTACTGCAGTCTGTTTCAGGTACGCCCTATGATTTTCCTCTCATAGTGTTATCCTCGGATTATAGCTGATACTCTGACGAGCTCATCAGAATTTTTGCACATAGATTGTTTCCTGTGAGCTTATGAACGACCTTGTATAGACTATTGTTTTTATTTGTCGTGAAACACCAAGGTTTTATCAAATTAGACTGTTTAGTCATGATACCACATAAGCTTGAGAGTTAAGCTGTTAAATCATAAAACATCTTTGAACTTGAGATGATTATCAATCTCAATATTCTTATAGAAAGGTTATAATGATAAACTATAGCGACCTACTATAAATTCTACTACCAAAGAGATAATGGATTCTTTATGGTTTGAGATTGGAACTACTGTATTTCAAAATCTGGATTAATTTATCCCAATGGTTAATTCCGACTCCAGGCTACAAGAACCTGTATCAACCATGATCAAAAAGATTTACGATTAATTCAATGTTCATGTGATTGATTTTGTATCTTTGCAGGTGGTGTTACACGGTGTGGTGAACATGCAACTACCTAATCAGTGGTTGTGGGACATGGTGGATGAGTTTGTATATCAATTTCAGTCATTCTGTCAGTATCGTGCCAAAATGAAGAACAAAACTGAGCAGGAAATTGCACTACTGAGACAACATGATCAGGTAAACAACTCAACTATGTTTCAGGGTTATCATGGATGCATCAAACTAACTTCAAACTTACATGGATACCTAATTCTGATGGAATACAATGTTCTTCATATTTTCACAGGCATGGAATGTGTATGGGGTTCTCAATTTCTTGCAAGCATTGATGGAGAAATCTTCGATCATTCAGATCCTAGAGCAGGAAAAAGAAGGTCTTGAACAGTTCACAGCTACAGATGGATATGATTATAATGGTGGAAGTAATGTTTTGAAGGTGTTGGGTTACTTCAGCATGGTTGGATTGTTAAGAGTTCATTGTTTATTGGGAGATTATCAAACTGGATTGAAGTGTTTACTTCCTATTGACATAAGTCAACAAGGTGTTTACACTAGTGTCATTGGAAGCCACATCACC